ACACACACACACACACACACACATATGTATGTAATTAGTGAAGTGGAGAATAGCCAGTGGGAACAAACTGCAGTCACTTGCTTTGTCTAACTATTCATTTACTGATTTATTCTACACAAAGGTAAGATATGAACAGTTAAATAAGACCAAGTCTTTTAGAAGAGAAAAATCATAAATAGTTTAGAAAACCAAGATTTAAAAAATATGACAAATATCACAATATCAACATAGTTGTAAGTGAGCATGAAACTTAGAACTAAACTTCTGTGTATCTAAAGTGAAAAAGGATACCTATATAATGAGTTATTTTTTTAAATATTATTATTTTTTAAAAGCATTTACTAAAGCAAAATTAAGCTCTCTTGGCTCTGAATAATCAAAAATTTATCTCATGGTCACTTTTAGGGGAAAACTGAAAGTTATGGTGGACAATAGTCCTACAATAAATTCAATGGTTTTTATAAGGCATTTGCTTAATGTTTGAGTAAAAGCCAAAAGCTAAGTATTATTTACAACTCAATGGAGGCTATTTTGTGAATCCCTAAAGAAAAATGATCCACGGATAAAAACTTTGGGTATTCTGGCTTAGTCCCAAAATAGATTTTAATCTGCTCAGAGAGCTGGATAGACTATATGCACTGTGAATGGTTATCTGTAAATATTACTGTTGCTGAAAGATTTCTAAACAATTGTAAGAATTCAGGAATAGATTATCTAGCTTTTTGTAGTCTGCCAGAATGTTTCAAACTATTGGTCTTTCCTAAGACCAGGTGTTCTGAAAAGTGTAAGGGGCCTCTTTGTTTATTGTAAGAGGACAAAAATGTAGGAAGATAAAAGAGGTGGAAGCAGAAACCAATTTGCTGAATTTACTAAATTACACAATTTGCCAAAACAATGAGTGAATTTCTCATAGCATTATAAAGAAGCTATTTTTTGCAATGAAATGTGTGTTTATATTCAAATTTCAAAATTGCTCCCAGGAAATGTGATGTTATAAATTTTAGCTAAATTATATGTTCTTAGGATTTTTTTGTCTTTTCAGAACATTTTATGTGGATTAAACCTGTTAAAATATTATTTTACATATTTGTGACATATATAGACAATAAACGCCTGGGGAAATTTACAATAAATTCATGGTTTCCTTAATATGATTTTATTATTTAACGAATCTTAGATTGGTCCTGATGGCAAGGAAAATGAATCATGGTCCCTGAAATTTTGTAGTCACTTTCATCTAATTGTTGATATGGTGGTTCAGTCACACACTATATAATGATGTTTCAGTCAACAACAGACAGAATATACAACAGTGGCCCCATAAAATTATAATGTAGCTGAACATTTTCTGTTGCTTAGTGGCATCATAGCCATCAAAAATGTGTCCTAGTGCAAGGTATTACTCATGTGTTTGTGGTGATGCTGGTGTAAACAAACCCACTGCACTGCCAGCCATGTAAAAGCACAGCCCATACAATTACATACGGTACATAATACTTGATAATGATAATAAATGGCTGTGTTCCTGGTTTATGTATTTACTATACTATGCTTTTTATTATTATTTTAGAGTCTTTTACTTATAAAAAAATGTTTGCTGTAAAACACTAGGCTGCACTGCATGGGCAGCAGCCTCATATATCATGTATTTACCAAGTCTCTTGATTGCATCATTTTCTATTGTGCTTGGTTTACTCGACTCTCAAGTTGTTTTGTACAGTGACATGCTGTACAGGCTTGTAGCCTAGGAGCAATGGGCTGTATCATATAGCTTAGGTGTGTAGTAGGTTAGACCATCTAGGCTTGTGGAAGTGCACTCTGTGATGTTGGCACAATGAGGAAATTGCCCAACGACGAATTTCTCAGAACATATGCCCATCGTTAAGTAGTGCCTGACTGTAATTAAATGAGAGATGACAAGAAATTGGGTGATTAAACATTGTTTAATAAGATAATGCATAAGTTATATTTCTAGGTTAATTCTCTCAAAGTGCAAAAGCAGTTTTTAGACTGTAAGCAAAACTCTTTGAAGAATGATCTTTGCTTTTAAGGGGCAATATAGATTGACATCTAGGATTTCTCTTATTTCCCTGTAGGAAGAACCTTTTGTAATGGTCTCAGAAAATGTCTTGGGTAAGCCGAAGAAATACCAGGGCTTCTCCATTGATGTCTTGGATGCCTTATCTAACTATCTGGGTTTTAACTACGAAATTTATGTTGCACCGGATCATAAGTATGGAAGCCCACAAGAAGATGGGACATGGAATGGCTTGGTAGGAGAACTAGTCTTTAAGGTAAGCATTTATTTATTTATTTATCCTGTATCTAAAGGTTAAGTGTAAGCCCTGGGAGCTAATTTCATATGAAATAAGTGCAAGGTAAAGCATTGTGTGTCAATGTTGAAGGCAAACTTCTTAGCCAATTCTATTTTATGAACTTTGTGGAGAGAAATATTAATGTAAAAATAAAACTAGATTTTAGAATATTTCCTATGATAGCAAACCATCTAGAACAAGACTTACCTTTGCCAAATTTACACTACAAATATTTTGTCAGTACATTATACATGATGAAGTCAGAATGCAATTTACAAACACAATCCATGCCATGTTTTCTTTTTAAAAATGCAATGTTATTTTTAATAAATAAGTACATAAATCAAATCCTGATCACTTTAGAGCTAATCATTAACTTCTAGGATATAAATAAGGTAAACCTATCCTTATAATTTCTCCTTCGTCTTTCAATTCTGGCAGAGGAGTTTAAACTTCTCTATTTCTTAATCTCTATTTAATTCAGGTTTGCTTCATTTTTCTGAAGCTCTTTTATTAGGTGCATACACATTTCTAACTATTATGTCTCCCTAATGAATTGTTGAATAGTCAGGTTTAGGTTCATAATTTATTGTTTGATTTATCTGTGTCCCATTTTTTCCGTTGGTTCTGTCTTTTCTTGCATTCCTTTGGGATAATTGAATGTTTCTGATGCTTGATTTTATTTCCTCTTTTGACCTTTTAGCTGCGTTTCTTTGTAAATTTATTTGCCTGTGGCTAGTCTAGAGATTGTAGTATGCATTCTTATCACATTGAATCTAGATTAATATTATACCACTCCACATTAAAAAAAGTAATAACTTACAGCAATGCTATTCAATTTACACCCATCTTATCCTTTATGCTATTGTGGTCATATATTTATATTTTATGAACTCCACAGTAAAATGTCATAGTTTTTTTATTGAAACAATCAGTTTTCCTTCAAACACATAAAGTGAAAAAAAAAGACAGTTTCTGGTATTTACCACTTATGTACTATTTTTTTTTNCCCATCTATTGCCCTCCCACCCCCGATATCATGCTTATCTATTACAATTCCATTGAATCCATTCCCGTTCTCTACTCCATGTCCCAAGACTATATGTATATATATAATTATAGTTGACATACAGTATTATTCAACATCAGTTTCAGAAATACAATGCGGTGGTCAGGCCTCTATTCCTGTCTACATACTACTTCAACCTGAGGAAATTTCTTTAGAATGTTTTGCAGTGCAGTCCTACAAGTGACATATACTCTTCAACTTTTGTTTACTTAAAATGTCTTTGTGTACCTTCATTTTTGTGTAATATTACACACTCTGACATGACAGTTTTTTGTTTTTGGTTTCTGGATAGTTTTTGTCTTTGTGTTTTCAAATAGGGACATTACTGGTTTTGATTAACATTTAATAAGAGCAGTGAGAATCTCAGAACATAGTCAAAATACACTTTTATAATCAAAACATACTTTTCTTCATACTTTTGAAAATTTTCTAAGGGGAAAATTTTGGATAAAATAATTATTCCTAAAATCAAGTCTGGTGACTTTAAAGCAAGAGCAACTTTTTATTTCAAAAATCAAAATAATTTTATCATTCAAAAATTTTTCATGCAATATATTTTTAATTGAGATATAATTGACATAACATTAGTTTCAGATGTATAACATAATGATTTGATATATGTATTTATTGGAAAATGATCACCACAATGAGTCTAGTTAATATCCATAACCACACATAAATGTTTTTTTCTAATGTTCATCACTTTAAAGATGCCATTCTATTGTCTTTTGCCAAATATTGTTTCTGATGAGAAGTTGGCCATTATTTGTACCTTTGTTCCTGTTTTTCAAGTGTGGTGGTGACCTTTTTTACAATTCTCTTTTCACTGTTGATGTTTACCTATCTATGATGTGCTTAAATGTGTTTTTCTTTGTATTAATCCTGCCAGGGTTTCACTGAGCTTCTGGGATGTTTCATAAAATGTAATAAATATTGACAGTTATTTCTACAAATATTTTTTTCTATCCTCTAACCTTCTCCTCTCTAGTTGAGGCTCAGAGAATATTCAAGTTAAACCTCTTAATGTCTATAAGTCACTGAGATCTTGCTTATTTTATTAAAATATGTTTTACTCTCTGACCTTTACATTGGATAATTTGTCTTGATCTGCTTTCAGGTTTATTGATTTTTTTTCTTTGCCACCTCCAATTTTCTGTTAAGTCCATTCTGTACCATTTTTATTGTAGATAGCTTATTTTTCAGTTCTAGAATTTCAATTTTTTAAAGACAATTTCCATTTCTCTGTTGAGATTCCCCATATTTGTAGTCATTTTGACCATCTTTTCTTGTAAGTCCTTGATCATATTTATAATAACTGCTTTAAAGTTCTTCCTTGTTATAATTTCAACATCTCTGCCACCTCAAGATGAATTCATACTGATTGTTTTTTCTATTAACCATAGATCACATTTTCATAGCTCTTCACCTTTCTGGTTCTTCTTATTTGATTGGAACTGAACATTGTGATTGATCCATTGTCGAGATTTGAGATTATGTCTCTGAAATTGTATAATTTGAAGAGGATTGATTTTTGTTAGAGCAGGCTGTTAAATTACTGTTTCCCCTAAATTTGTGGAGGTTTAGTTTCACACATCGTTAAGGCAGGTCTTTTTTATTTTATCTTAGTTCCTAGGGTAAATCTCTGGGTGTTGGCAGCCCCTTTATTCCTAAACATAGCCTTCTGGAGTTTCTGTGGAAAAGCTATGGTTCTCACTAAACCCTTCTGATTTACAGGGACTAAAACTTGAATCTCTATCTCCCCTGTCATAGACAGCAATTGTAATCTTTTGTTCAGCTCTTTTAGCCTTCTTGATGTTGCTATCTGTTGTTTTTTGTTTTTTGTTTTTAGAGTCATCCTTATGCATGTGCAGCTTAGAAGCCAGGCAAGGATATGAGGGTACTTTATATACAGATTTGGGAGCTTATTCCTTCAGGGCTCCTTCCTTTCTGTGACTCCCCGTTTAATTTCTGGACACGCTGGCTGCCTCAAACTACATCCTCTAACACATTAATCTAATAAGACTCTGACTTTCTGCTTGAGCTCTAGCTACCCCTTGTCACCTAAACTGAAGTGGGTCTTCAATGAATAAGCCATATAAAATTGGGTCTCACTTCATGCAGTTACCATTTTTCAAGGGTGGAATACCCTATAGTTTCTGCCTGCATTTGGTTAATCTCCAGATCTTTTAATTTTTTCAAAAAAAATTGATCCAGAATATATAATTGTTATTCTTTGTTGGGTTAACTAATCATTGCCAGAACTGGAATTATTTCTGAAGTAATTAAGTTGTTCAGCAAAACGAAGGACCTGACTAATTTGTTTCCAAGAGATGGAGAAGAGAAAAAATTAAAAGGTTTTAAGGTAGTGGTAGGAAAAATAACAAAGCTGTTTTTTATATCCTATAAAAGTTTACTGCGTTTGATCTATTTAATCAACCAATTACTTACAGATTTTTTGAAAACCATTAACAGTATTTTTAATAAAAAAGGGAATGATCAATCCTCATCTTTCTTATTAAAATCATGACAATTTATTTTAATGACAATTTATTATAAACCCATAAATCTGCCTTTGTATTTCTGAGGGGTCTTCCCAGATCTATACCCAAATAAGTAATTATGTCACAAGAAGGGTAAAGAAAAGAAGAAGGCATTATATATATTTATTCTATAGAGGTAGTGGATAAAATCTTTAAGAGATACTATGCTAACAAATTCCACTTGCTGAATGTGTGCTATCAGTAAAAAGCATTAGAATTAGTCTAATGTTGGTGCTGTTTTTAATTTGATTTGTGTGTTTGCTCCAGTTAAATTTCTGAGACTTGCCTCCTCACCTATGAAGCGAGGAGTACAAGTATGTTAATGGAAAGATCACTTCCAACTATAATACCTTTTTAACATTTTAAGGATTTATTACATAACAACCACACTAGTAATAATATGTAGTTCTCCATAAACAGTCCATTTAATTGTTTTCATTTGCATGTAAGAGCATGCATTTATTGTATGATAACTTAAAGTTCAGCAAGGTCTTTTTAACAAGTAAAAATTCAGACTTAAAAAAACTAGCTGACAAATGTATGATTTTTAGCCAGAAAAATGATAAAGCTATTTATTACCACTAAGTCTTTGTTTTATTTAAGAAGATATTTAGCCATTCTGATTAGGCTTTGAGATACACTTACTAAGCAGGGGGAGGAAGTAGCCTACATAAGAGTTTGTTGGAGCAGGCAGAGAGATAAGAAGAAAACAGAGAATGTGGTGCCATGAAAGCCAAGGGAAGATACCATTTTAAGAAGGAAAGGGTAGTCAACATTACAGAATGACCACCAAGATGTTTGGGTACATGACACTCTCCTTAACTATTCTGACTACTGTCAATAGAGATGTAAGTCCAAATGCTGAGCAACTTAAAATATCTATTCAGTTGTACAGATAATAGAACAGTAAAATATCATAAAGTAATTTAGATTATCCAACAAGATTCATTATATTAAAACTTTTACCAGGCTTATTTATCGCTGTAAAGCAAAATAACATCATTGAAATGGCTTAATAATGTTATGACAGAGCTTCAGAGAAGGGAACTTAATATTGTTATGTAGTTTTTATTAGAGTAGACATTTTTAATGAATTGCAGTATATTTCAAATAACAGTGAATATTGCCATTGAATACCTCTATCCATGACAATAAGACTTCTGAAATGAGCAAGATTGATTGTCTTCCTAAGGGGAAGCCAAAACTAGAAGAATATTTCTCAGAGTCTTTGTCATGATGATTACGGACATACCATCACATTGAAAAAGAGTCCAAGAGAAAACATAGAAAGTTTCTGAGTTCATATGATTGTTCCTCATTGATTTTTAGGGGTGACACTAAGGCTTCAAAGTTTGGTTGATGTCACATTA